CCAAATATTTTGACGCAAAAATTAATGCCCTTTGACCAAAATTATTTTGATTTTTTGACCGTTTTTTGAAAATTTTTTGATTTTTCTCGAAAACTATCCTACCAAAACTGGGATTTTTGGTTCAATCGAAATTGCAGGTTTGTTGAATCTCTTCTGATTAAGTGACTACGCCGAATGTTTTAAACAAAAAGATATGATTCTAGGAAATGTCAACTTTCTGATTTGTTGACCGTTTTTTTTTTGGATTTTTCATGATAACTATTCTGCCAAATCTGACATCATAGGTTTAGTCGACACAACAACTTGGTGAAAACTGATCTTTATAATTTGCTCGCACAGTTTCTCTTAGAAAAAAGTTATGGCTTTCAAACAAGTGAACGTTTTTGAAACTTTGATTGTTTTTCGGAAGTTTTTTTCCCCTACCCGAATATTATCGTGCCATTTTTCAGGTTGTTTTCAATCGAGAAATCCGATTTTGGAAATCTTCTCTACTTTACCGGCCACGACCTGCTACTAGCAGAAAAAATACGGTTTTCGGAAAGTCAAGATTTCGTACCGTTTTTTGCAATTTCTTTCTAAATCTACCCTATCAATGAAAATTCAAAAACTTCGATGAAAATATCAATCGAAAAAAGCGGTTGCGCGAATTTTTTTTGCAAAGCGGCTACTCCTTGCTGTTTTGCAAGAGAAATTTTTTTTGAAATTTCGAGAAAGATTTTTTTCAAAGTCCATTTTTTGAAATTACGCATTTCGTCTCGCATCAGTATAACAAATTCAAAAAATATCAAACACGTACATCCAGCTTTATCTAGCCACTAGGTGTCCTTAATCGAGACATTCAAAAGTATACGTTCACCTAGTTTTTTTCGCTTCTCCCCTGTGTAATCACATCACCTTCATCAATTTCTTAGGATAGTTGATTTGAGTAATTGATACTAAATTTTCATTCAGAGACAAGTTTTTTCATTCAAAGAGAAAATTTTGGTCAGAGTAGATTTTTTTCAAAAAATCACTGATTTCAACTACTACCTCATCTGGTGACATTGATTTAAGTGGAACAGCTTCGTGTTTTTGACTTTAAAGATTTTTATGGCCTTCATACTTGAAGTGTTTGTCATACTTTGCAATGTATTGTCTAAGTTCAACACAATGTAGCGCTGATTTGAGTTTTTACAATCATTTAAAACTTTTTAATCGGGAACTACATCTTTTTCCCCATCAACATTTTTGCTTACAAATCTGTAAGTTTAAACTGCTTTTTAGTGAGCCGTAGCAACTTCGAGACTCTGCTTGGGTAATGCGGTTGCCTATGCACCCTAAGGTCTGGTGTTAGAGTGGCGGGCTGTCCTCCATTTTTTGAGTAAAAACATTATTACCCTTGCGATAAGCAAGGGTATTGCAATCGGGTATTATAGTTTTTTTCCCGTAAAAAAACTTTGTCCACAGGATCTTCACTTCTAGAAGTGAAGATCCTGCGGACAACTTCTAGAGGATCTTCACTTCTTGAGATCCTTGAAAATTCAAATCAAGTACTCTCAGTTAGCTAATAACCAGTTCAAGCCCGTTTCAGTTTCTAATAATCTTTTCAAAAAAAAATTTTGGGTTCCTGGTTTTCGTCCTAGTTTCTATTGGTTCTATTTCCGTTTTTTTAATGCCATGTTTTTACAGTGTTTTTATTTATAACTTTTTAAAGCATGCGTTTCGTTCCAATTTAAATAGTTTTTACCAGAACTAACTTCGCAAGTTTGTGAATTTATCAAGTCTGATTTTGAGTTTTTTTTTGAAATATTCAAACTGTTTGCTTATCTTATACAGACTTAGTCAATTTGTTTTGCGTAATTTAAGGGCAAAATATTTTCATGTGGGATTCTGTGTTTCAGTTTGTATAGGTCGTATAAGCTTGAAAGTTTAATGATTTTTTATGACAACAGTTTTGTTTTCGGCTCAACGGGTTTCGACCCAAAGATTGTCGCCTTTGTTTCCGCTCGGTAAATGTTTTCCATTTTTAGGGGCTGTTTATGACACAAAGGTCTTATACAAATCTAACCGTATTTTTTCAACATTATTCGAGACAAAGCAAGAAATTTTTTTAAAGTAGCTTTTTGACAATTTTTTCAGTATGTGTTTTTGACTTCCGCGATTTGTTTGTGTTCTGGTATGATATCGGCTTTTTGAGGATCAACATGTGTCGGCCCAAGTATGTTCGGCTATATAATAGCTTCTTGAAGTTGGTGCTGAATGTAAACACTCAGCTGGTTCACGTTGCATTCTTTTTAAAATGAACTTTGCCTTACCCAAATCGAAATAAACATGGAAATCGAAATAAACATGTTGCTTTTCATTGAATTTTTGTGAGGCTCCGATTGCCCCTATTTTATAATTTGATTCAGCTGATTACTGAATTTCAAAATCTTTCTTTTTATTTTTCATTCCTCGCGCTTGCGTTTATTAAGCGTTACCAAACTGGAATATAGACTTATTTCGGGTTAACAGCTAGTTTAACAAAATCAGTTGAATCTGTGAGACGTTCTATTCGCTTCTTCAACTTTCTCCGTGCATGGCCGTTCTTCTATTCGCTCCTTCCCGTTTCCAGGTTCCTTCCCTAAGGTTGGGGTCGAGTCTCGGCCGAACCGCGTTCCTTTGCAATTGTATGCAATTGAAAGTTTTTTTTCGCAGGAAAAATTGAACTTTTGTTTGTCTGCTTGTGTTGCCGCCTTATTTGTCAGATTGTGAAACTTTCTTGTGCTGTCAGAAAATTTCATCGCAGATGCAGGTAATTGATTTTTTTGCATGACCCACTCGTATTTTTTCGGCTTGTTTCATTGACAAATTAACTGCTTTTGTTCCGCATGAGGGTAATAAAATCGGTCGTTTGTGAAAAGTCGGTCGTTTGTCAAAGTCTTAAAACGTAATTGCCCAATTGTTTTTCAGACAACAATTTATGGCATTTCTTTTGTTTATGGGCTGAATGGGCGTGTACACATGTGTTGTCGGCTTATTAGCCGCTCGGATGAAACGGAAAGCTTATTTAATGATTATCGATGTGATTGTTTTTTTTAAATCGCTTTCGTTAAAAAAGTTATATTTTTTTGATTTTGGTTATTTCCGTCTAATTTTCTATTCGCTAGCTTAAAATCTTGCGCTTGCGTTGTATCGCAAATGATGCTAAGCACGGCAATTTTCAATTTTATAATGAACGTCGAAATTTAATATATCGTATTAACTCAATCGGACTATTTTGTTGGACGTTTTCTTCTCAAGTATCATTAAAGTTTGCTTATAACTTTCTGTGGGGGATCTGTTAGGAGATAACATAAATCAGTTCTTACTACTGCTAGACATTCTAACAGATTAATTTCATAATCAACAAGACTGCTCGTATCAGGGCGAAGCCCTGAATGTTCCGACTGCCTTTTAAGGTTTATGGAGCAGTAATAACATTAAAAAATTAAATGTAAGAAAAATTAAAATGAATTTTTTTTTTCTAAAATTTGAAGTTTTTTAATGAAAATCATCCCCCCACACGCCATACAAAGTACAAAAGGATAGATTTTGCTCCTTGTATCAAACCAATTATGGCGAATAAGCTTCTTTTAACCAATTTGGAACGATTTCTAAGACGGATTAACTCTCCGCTTACGCGTTAATAGCGCGAAATATATCGCGCGTTAATTGTCCCAAATTGGCGAAAATGGCAATCCTTAAACCTCCATAACACAGGTAAAATATCTTTTCAAATTTGAGCTCAGGACAACAATACCTTTCGAATGATATAGAAAAATTCCGTCAAAAATGGCTAGTTAAAAAGTCTGAAGAAAAAAAAACCCACCCCGAGCACAAATATTCCGTTACTTTCGTATCGAAAGTCGGAACAATAATATCCGACGAAATTACTTGATCACTTATTTTAGAGTTGTAGATGATAGATGATAATTTTTCGCTTTTTTTTGTTCGAAAATATGATTATACTTGATACTTGTGAAAAAATTTTTTTAATTTTTTTGGATCAAAAATTCATCGCCAATGGATCTACTTCAAGTTTTGATTAACACAAAAGTATTTTTCAAAGAAAATTGACAAAATTCTTTGCTTTTTTCAATAATTAGCCTCGCATTGGGAGCAAGCGATATTGAAAAGTTCAATTTTCGAATTCATTAGTAGTTCTTTCGTCGGCTTATGCAGTGATACCGCCCAATCAAACGCTTTCCAAAAGCGGGTTATAACAGTGCACTTCGGCCAGAATCAAGAATTTTTCTTCATTTTGCTCGTTTTGGAAAACAAGGTGAAAATTTCTGTGCCGAATGTTCTTATCACTTCTCGTATATGAAAAGTAGCCTTCTGTATTCTACGAAAAAACAATCTGTACACTCTTCCGAGATGTAAGTGTTTTATCGGCGCCATCACTGATTTTGCATATTTTTCTTTTCACCGTTGATTACCATTAATTTGTTTTTTTTTGTACTTTATATGGCGTGTGGAGGGATGATTTTCATAAAAAATTTCAAATTTTAGAAAAAAAAATGTAAATTTTATTTAATTAATTAAGCCCATTTATCCACGGGGGAAAGGACCAACACAAGAGCTGTACAGCTCATCACTGCGAACCGCTGTTGTGCCCCTGTTTAAGAACTACATGCAATTTTTTGGTTATTTTTCTGGGCTGGGTAATGTTGCTTCACCCTCAAGCAACGAGCACGGATCATGGTGGGCCTCGAACATCCGACCTTTCGATTGGGAGGCGGAGACGTAACCACTTCACCACCGCTCCCCTATTTTATTTCATTTAATTTTTTTATGCTATTACTGCCGCTCCATAAACCTTAAAAGGCAGTCGGAACATTCAGGGCTTCGCCCTGATACGAGCAGTCTTGTTTTCTTAGTTTTGATTGCTCCACCTTAAAGTATCAGTAATTGTGTTACATGTTTTTATGAACGTGTTTTAAGCACCAAAAAACTGCGTAATATGTAGTTATACGCTTATCATTCCCCAGTTTACTTACTGCCTGTCAGATTGGATGTCCTGGTGTAGAGGTGGAGAAAGTATGACTCATTCAAATTCAGATAGCCTCCCTTGTTCACCTCTAATTTCATATTGTACGCTCTGTCGTACAAACAGCCAACTAAAACAAAATCGAAAAGTGAGTTCTCTCTTTTCAAAAATGGCGTGGAAAAACATTCACCTAATACAAAGTTCGTTCCTAGTTTCAATGATCAAAACAAAAAGTGTTTTCATCGAACCCTAAGCCTGAATTATTTCCGGCAAAATTGCGTTCAATTATCTGAAAAATTCCCGAAAAGTTTTTAGATTTCCGAAAATATTTTATCAAGTTCAACGTAACAGTTTGGTCTGTTTAGCGTGGAGGTAACTCCCATGCTTAGGGCAACAAAGGTTATAATTTCAATTCCAGCCCGGAGCTGATTTAATTTACGAAATTTTTTTTTCTTTTTTTTCCTGGGCAATCGTTTGTGCGCTTATTTATTCTCGACTTGCTTTACAAATCAGGAAATTTTCCCCTGGTGGAAGCAAATTTTGCTACAAATGAAAGGAGTTTTGTTTGGTTCCTGTATTTCGTAAATTTCCGAACTCTGATTGTGTATAATTTCCTTATATTTTTGGTTTCTAGGGTTTTCTGCTTGAACGGGTTAATTTTGAATTCTGGCTTAGCCACCTTGTATTGCCTCATTTGAAGGATTAACCTAAATTTCAATGCTTTTGTGGGTGTTGAGAAGAACAGGGGCTTAAAATCATTGAGCGTCTTCCCAGATGTGTCTGCTTAGTTGCTGCTTGGTGATTTCTTTGTGATTGCTTATCTAATTGCTTGCCATTTAATTTTTCGACATGTTTTCGCCAATTGAACATCCTTCGAGACAAAGCATGAAATTTTTTTCAAGCTGCTTTTTCGACATCTTTTTTCAAAGTAAGTGTTTTCTACTTCCGTGATTTGTTTGTCTTCTAGTTTGATATCGGCTCTTTGGCCGTACTTTGTGTCGTTTCTTATGCGAAAAAAAAAACGTTTCAGGGGGATTTTGTAATGATTTTTAGAATTTTTATTTCATGAAAGCTTTTTTGGATTAACAGGTGCCGGCTCAAGTATTGTCGGCGGTGATATGCTACAATAAATGATAATTTTGAATATAGTGCAAGTATTAAATTTGAGAATTATAATGCATAATATAGGCATTTCATTTCCAATCACTTGTACTACCACTAAGATAGTTTTGATAAATACATTACTCTGCCAAATGAAATAATATTCAAAAATTCAAATTTTACACTTTTGCCAAAGTATAAACAAAAGCGATCTAGCTATTGAACTTGAAACTTCCACCTGTTGCAATATATCACTTCGTCGGCCATGTAATTGCCTCTTGAAGCTGGGGTTGAAGATAAACACTCAACTGGTTCACTCTGCAAGGTTTTTGAAATGAACTTTGCTTAACACAAAGCGAAAATCGAAACAAAAAGAAAGGTTTGTTTCTGTTTTTCGACTAAGTGGCTACTGTCGGCCAGTTTACCAGGATGAATTATATTTAATTGCACATAATTGTTGTGAGGCTCCGCTTGCCCCTATTTGTTCCGACTATTGAAAATGGGGAAGAACTTTGTATTCGGTTGTTTTAGTTTTTTTCCACGCAAAATCAGGTGCCACAAATAATTATTGGACTGAGTTAAGTGATATATCATAATAAAGCTCTTTCAGTCGCGATTCGAACGACTTGAAAATTTTTCCAAAAAATTTTCCCGGTGTCGAGAAAAACTGGTTTGAAATTTCTTGATTTTTGTTCTAATTCCGAGCTAGTAAGGTGACTGTATATGCTTACAAAAGCATATTTAGGCTTAATTTCAGTCATGAAAACTTAGTTTTACTCAATTAAAGTTAGTTTCTGGAGTTTTAGTGCAATTTTTGAATTTTTTTCGTTTTTTTTTCTTTTTTTCGTTTTTTTTTTCAGCAAAAACTGTTTTACAATTAACCTATTGTACTATGACTCTCAAATATGTCTAAATTTTATTTTTTTTGTTCAGATTTTTTTATCACAATATGCAGAAAAAAATCGATACCAATTTTTTTTTTAAAAAGATTGTTTTTTTTTCAAGACTGTGGTTGGAACATTCTGTGATACTTGCACAGTAAGCGGCCATCCTTGTTTATAGTTTGATTAAGCTGATTACAGAATTTCAAAATCTGTTTTTTTTGTTCGTCACTCTTTACGCTTGCGATTAGCAAGCGTTAAAAAACCGGAATACAGGCGTTAAAATTGGAAAAAAAACGGAATTTTGTTTTTCAATGAATAAAAGGAGTCTAAAAAACTTGCATTTTCTACAGGCCCAGTTTTTCTACACAAAGTTATGACCCTCGCAAAAGTCAATTTTTTTATTTTTAAGCGTTTTGTGAATCATTCGACTTTTCTCGGAAAATAACTTCTCAAATCTGTTATGGTGGGATTAATGAACGTAACGGGTAGTGGGAGACTCCCCTGCATCAGCGGCCACTCACAAAGTTTTTACTCAAAAAGTTATCGCCCTCGGAAAAATCAAAGTTTTGATTTTTTTTGACTGGTTAAACTTTTTGAATATTCTCGAAAACTATCCAACCATATCTGAGTTTTTGAGTTCACTTCAAAGAACGTGTTTTGAAAAGCTCATTTGCTTATGCGACTACGCGTAAGTTTCTTCGACACCAAAAGTTATGGTCCTCGGAAATTTGACAGTTCTGTTTTTAAATTATCTCGAGAAATACCCTCCCAAATCTGAATTTTGAGTTCATTCGAATTTTTAGGTTGCGAGAATTCCTTCTGCATAAACGGCTACGCACCATTTTTTCTCAAAAAAAAGTACGATTCTCGGAAAGTTCAAATGTTTGATTTGTTGACTGTTTCTTTGATTATTTGTGCTAATTATTTTGCCAAATCTGATATCATAGGTTTACTAGAAACATCAGGTTATTAAAAGCCTACGTTTACATTTGAATTTGCTCAGTTGACTTTTAAAAAGTCGTGGCTTTCTAACAAGTCCAAGTTTGCACAGTTTTTGGAAACCTTGATATTACGCGAAAACTTCTGTGACAATTCGCAGGTTGTATTAATCGACAAACCCAGTTTCGTGAATCTTCTCTGCTTAAGCGATCACAAACTGTTTTTTTTGCAGGAAAAACGTTTGAATTTAGAAAGTATTCTGACAGTTTTGTAGAACTTTGATCGTTTTTTAGTAATTTTGTTAATCATCATTAACTGTCATGTTATTAATGTCGATTGTGACTTGTGATTGTGATTGTAAGATCTTGATTTCTCTAATGTAAAAGAGAATACTCGTTAATATTTGACTAGCTAATTATTTTGACTAGCCAAATCTGATATCATAGGTTTACTAGAAATGCAGGTTGTTAAAAGCAAACCTTCATAATTTTATATGCTCAGTTGACTTAAGAGAAAAGTCGTGGCTTTCAAGCAATTCCAAGTTCGGACAGTTTTTGGAAACTTCGTTGTCAGGCAAAAACTTCCGTGACCATTCGCAGATTGTCTTCAATCGAAAAACCCGGTTTCGGGAATCTTTTCTGCTTAAGCGATCACAAACTGTTTTTTGCAGGAAAAACGTATGGATTTGGAAAGTATTCTGACGGTCTTGTAGAACATCATTAGCTGTCATTTCATTAATGTCAATTGTGACTTGTGATTGTGATTGTAACATCTTGATTTCTTTAATGTAAAAGATAATTTTCGTTAACGTTTGACTAAGATAAAGTTTGGAACCAAATATGAGAAACAATGGAGTTGTCAGATGTTTTCAAAGCAGATGTTTTCAACATTTGTTCTTACAAGCATCACATTATTCTTGAAGCTAAGGAACTAGCAGCACGATTTTTAACCGAACAAGCCCATTGCCGATGCACGCATTTGGGCACAGAACAGAATATGTCCGCAATTACCTTCAGCATAATTTTCTCATCATTGGTTCGCGCCGAGCTCTGAAACAAATTCGTCATCGCTGTTTCTGTCGGCGATTCCAAGGAAAAGTCTTCAGCGTTTTCATGTCAGATCTTCCCGCCACTAGCTTCCGGGGTCCAAATGGAAACTCTTACCCACTCAAAACTGTCGGCTTAGTTTACATTGGACCTTTTCACATTGCCGAAAATTTCATCAACGACGAAGCAAAATATCTATTTGATCGCGTGCTTAACTATTCGTGCTATGCATGTAGAAACGACAGAACGCCTCACAACGGACTGTTGCGCGACAGTTATTCGCAAGTTCATAGCACGCCGAGCTCACCACAACGACTACTCTCGGACAATGCGACATATTTTATTAGAGCGAAAAAGCAGTTGCGTGCAGAGCCACTGTCATTCGATAAAGAGATAACTAGCTATTTAAATAATCAAATTTTTAGCTAGAAAATGAATCCTCATTCTGCTCCTCACTTTACTGGTGTGTGGGAGAGACTCGTTCAGATGATTGAACTAGTTTTCCTTCTGAATCATGGATCTGCACGCCTCTCTCGGGATCTCTTCATAATCGTCGCTGAAACCGAAGTACTTTTGACTGGACGACTATTGACGCAAGTGAACAGTGATAACGCGGACGACCTTTGGTTGACGACAAACCAAATTCTTTTTGACAGACTATTTGTGTACCTATTTTTTTCATCATTCGAATATCTTTTTTTTGTTTGTGTTGTATGGCAAGTAACACGAAGCTGAGCTTCGCCTCTTTGTTGACTATTGCTTGATCTTTTTTTGACTATTGCATGACATATTAATCTTGGAGCTTAAGTTTATTTTTGCCAAACAAGTGGATTTTGTTTTGATTTTCAATGAAGTTATTCGTTTTCCTATCACAATTAGTGCGCCCATCGCAACAAGTTCAGTGCACCTATCACAACATGTTCAGCAGCGCCTCTGTGTATAGAAATTGAAATTAAAAGTTCAAATATAAATTTTCTAAAATCGAAGAATTTTTTAATTACTGTTAAGCATGCAGACTGAGGTTACTCAGAATCAGAATCCATACTAATGGAAGTTAATATGATACCACACTTGAACGCCTTGCGAGCTTTTCTTGAGGTACTTAAAATGGGGCAAAAATTCAGCCCAGTCTACACCATAGCTCCTTCCCATCACTTTGCGACGTGTTCAGAACATAATTTCAACCTAGAAAGTACTTCATTTTTTAGTTGGATTTCCCTGTGCTTCGTCTGTTAAAAATTTTTGGCGGATGCTTAAGCTCGTGTTTTTATTTAGTGTTTTTAGCAGTTTTGATTGCTTTAGCGATGAATATTCAGTCAAAATCTCAGTGAAATTTTGAAAAAAAACAGATTTGGATTTTCCATTTGTTTTTTTTTGAAATTTTCGGCTGTGTTCTTGGCCACTTGGATAGATTAAAATGAAATCATTGCCGATTACTTCAAGAACCTGATTTTGTAAGGAAATTTGATTTTTTTTGCAAAGCTAGCTCTGATTGTCACTATACGTAATTGAACTGAAATTTTTATGTTACCTATGTTGCTTTGTTGGTAGAATGTCTTATTAGTTAGCATCCAGGTGGCGTCCTGATTGTACTTGGGGGAGTCAGGGGGCAGATGAAAGTGCTGCACTGTCGCTCTCATGTCGGAGTAAGGATTATCCGACAGTTTGCACTGAGTGATGTCTTCTGGACTCAGTTCTGTAAAAGAAAAAAAATATCCCTCCTCGAAGTATAAAGCTCTGGTGGATCGTGGAAACAATGCACATCGATCCTAAACTCTTTGCGTACTGTTTAATCTTGTGATAACAAGGGTGTTAGAATTTTTTGCCGCAACTAACTTTCGTCACTGGATCGTTGAAGTTGGCGGTCATCACGGGATTTTGGCTTTTTCCACTCCCCTCCTCATTTCAAAAATTAATTTTTCTTTGTTGTTTTACGTGTTATTATGGATTAATTCATAATGTTACGATGAAAAGTATCAAGATTAAATCTGTTCACATTAGTAAGTTTTTTCACCATGCAATATTTAATTACATTTTGACAAAGCTAAAATTGTTTTTCCAAACTGAAATTCAAATCTCTCTCTCTCTCTCTCTCTCTCTGTGTGTGTGTGTGTGTGTGTGTGGGGGGGGGGGGGGGCGAGATTTTAAGCAGTTGTTTGGTGAATTTTTGGAATTTTTTAATTATGATTTTTTTCCAGCGAAATTTCACTTTTTACCCTTGCGATAAGCAAGTGTATTGCAATCGGGTACTAGACGTTTTTCCCGTAAACAACTTTGTCCACAGGACTCATTTCTGGCCTCTTTTACCTCTTCGTCCTCTTTGCAAATCTTACTCTCGGTTGCTAATGTTAAGCATGGTTCAGTTTTTATTTAAAATATCCGTCCTGTTCAAATATTTCTTTTTATGTGATTTTGCAACTGAATTTGTTAAAAATTTGTTTTGTTTTTTGTCCTTTTTCGGCTTTGTTTTTGTTTCTTTTTTGTCGTCCTAATATTTTTCGGCCAATAGTATGTCGGCATAGTGGCCACATATTGTTTCATTTGACGCGTGAATGAAGTTTGTGTGTGTTTGTTTGTTTGAGGGCGTGGGAACACAATTTTTTTTTAAAAAAAGTTCGGCCGAAAGGGTTTTTGCTAAGTTATTTCCGGCTTTGTTAACGCTTGATAATTTTTCTTTCGATGCCAATTTCACATTTTATTGTCTTTGCTCGTTTTGTTTTAAAACTATCCTTATCGATAGATCTAGTTTTTTCAAAATTTTCGATTTTTTTTCGACTTTGTGGTTCTCTTGTTTTGTATCGCAAGTGGTGCGAAGCTCAGATTTGCCTTTGTGTCTCATTTTCATCCACCAGTCTTGAGAACTTTGAACTTTTGAGAAGCATGAACTTTTCTTTTGTTTTAGCTAATCTTATATACAAATTGAATGTCATCAACTAGCATAATGTTTTTGGGGCCACCAAGCGCAACTTTTAAAAAGCTTAGAATGGAACGTCTAAGAATCATTCAGTGCGACCATAAAATTTTTTGTAAAGCTTCAAACGAATAAACCAGAACCAGCAACCTCCATGCTTGGAAAAATAATTTTTCGCGGAGCGTTTTGCGCTTTGAATTTTTCATGAACCGATTTTTCATGAACCGCTTTGAATTTTTCATGAGCTTGGATAACTTGCTGGCAAAAACTCAAAGTTTTAGCAAACCGGTTTGCGCTTTGATATAACTTGAAATGCATAACTAGCTTGCATAGGCACACTTTATTTTTTCGCCGAAAGGTTAAGTCTAAGAAAAAACTTCGATTATTTTGAACTTCATCGCCCGAATAGCTTGCTGAATAAAAATTTTCGCGATCTGACGCGCTCTATTAAATAACTTGAAATTTTTCAACGTTTCATTGTTTGAATGTCTTGTATAGGTAAACTTTCTCTTTTTCGCAAAGGGAATCGCTCTTTGATACCCTGAAATGTTTCAAATTTTTATCGCTTGAGTAGCTGGCGTAGGAAAACTTTCATTTTTCGTAAATTGGTTCCGCCAAGAAAAAGCTTCGAATTTTCCAAAGTTTCATCGCTGAAATAGGTTGCATAGTAATGTTTTTTTTGCAAACAGATTTGCTCCATGATACCTTGGAATATTTTTAGTTTTCATCCCTTTGGTTGTTGGCATAGGAAAATTGTTACTTTTCGTAAATTGATTGGGCCCAAGAAACAACCTTAGTTTTTTCAAAGTTTCATCGCTAGAATGGCTTCAGAAGAACAACTTCTCGCTCGAATGGCTTCAATAAAAAAACTTCCACTTTTGAAAAAATCGAGACAAAGTTTGCATAGGGAAACTTAAGTTTTTTTGCGAAACGGTTCAATCTAAGAACGAACTGAAATGTTTTTTTTTAATCGGTTGAATGAATCTAACAGTAAAACATAAATTTTAAAAGTTTCCTTGATTGAAAAACTTTCGAAAACCTGATCGTTTTCTATGAGAAGGATCATATTTCAAAGTAAGGCTTAAATATTTTAGTTCACAATCTGATAGCTCCGCGTCTTCTAACACCCTATTTCCCCTAGTTCTTACCGGCGTATTCAACCCTAAAATCAGATAACCTCACTACAATTTGGCTCCTTTTAATACTATTTGTTAGAAACACACTGAAACGTTTTTGAAAGTGACCCCGAACCATAGCGGTGGTAAACATCAAAGCTTTAATTTAGAAAATTTTTGCGAAACAAAACAAAATAAGATGCACTCTGCTAAATGCAAATTAGATTGGAAAAGAAATGACTTTGCCGATAGTCAAGACTTTAATATGAAATTGAAAACTAAGCCGACCGGAAAAATTCAAATTAGTAGCCAAAAAACACAGAGTTATCGAGATTTGAGATTGATCTTGAAAATTTTTCTGCCAATAATAGATTTATTGGCTCAATTTAAATTTAATATGGACTGAAATAGTTTCGGCCAAAAGTTTAATCTTATTTCAGCTTTAGTCATTTTTAATGCTTTTTTAAGTATAGTTTGTGCAATTTTTTGTACCATTTTTTTTTGAATTGCTGGCATATATAACCCAATGTCTAAAGGGTTTACCAGCCTGTAATCCCAACGCAGCGTTCCTTTATAGAAGCAGCTGTTTAAGGATTAAATTGCTCGTGACAATTTTTTTTGATGCGATTCAAGATAGTGCGTTTTTGTACGTACCCGGGAGGCTGCATGGAAGCATTTTATTTTTAAAAATGACTTACAAAACTTTAATACTAAAATATCTATTAAAAACAAGAAAAATTAAGCTCAAGTTCGGCATAGGGCGTAAGAAATTCAGATCAGTTTTTCTTGGTGCACTTGCATACTTTTCTGCTATCTTCCCCTCTTGATCCGGTTCTTTTCTTTTAATTGGTGCCCACTCGCAGTGTTATAGAAATTGAGCTCTTAATCGGAGGTGTTTGTCCAAATTTGCATTTACTTTCCAAATAATGGGTTGTGAACCACTGAAATGTGATTGTGTACCATAATCACAGCCCTCTACAGCAGTATGTGTTCTCGTCAAATCAGAATATACAGCATCTTTTTGATTCCATAGGGAAAGAGCGGTAGAATTTCTCGATCCGGGTTGAGGCTCTTTATCTAGTTTAATCCAAACCAGGCATTACTCATGTTTGGCAATTTTTGCCGACTCATTCATGTTGCAATTGCGGAACAATTTGAGTTTAACTGGCTGTCTTATTTCATTAGTTTTGTGTTTCTTCTTTTGTAAAAGCCAGTAACGCTTGCATTTTAGCTGCTAAGGCAAACTCGTAATTTGTGTACTACTCCTTTTTTTAAACACGGTTGGGCAAAATCTCTCGTCCGCTGCTTAGAAATAAAAAAAGACCGGTAGGATTCGGGAAAATGCTTGAACAGCGGCCTGCGTAAAATCCAGCAATTTTTTTTCAGGTCTTACGGTGGCTAGTTTTATAGGGCTTCTAAAATTGTGGTAAGTTTTTTCCGTTTTATTTGTTAAAAAGCCTGTATACAAGCAGGGTTTTTTTTCCAGAAAGACTACCCTGTATAGAGTAAAGAGTGAAACTTTATGGGGCTGACTTTGCATCTTAAGTGGTGCGCTTCTGCGCTCCGCCTGTGTGTTAAATAGATAATTTTTTCGGCATCAGGTGTGTCTGCTAAAAAAAATATTCGGCTTCGTTAGCGCTTTGTTACTTTTGTTTCGATGCTAATTCAAGATTTAGTTATTTTACTTGGCATACTTTCTAGAAAGGAATTTTAATAAGACAAATATATGAAAGTTTTAGGTTGATCAATTGGGCTGTTTTTGGTTTAATTTTGGCTTTTTTGCTTTTTTTCGCTTTATTTATGTTGGTTAGTTTGTCGTGCTGTGTTTGTGTTGCATCGCAAGTGGTTTGAAGCTCCGGCTCGGAAAGTCAAAATCCAAAATCGTTTTTCATGGTCGAATTAGGAACCATCAATAGGATAAATTTATTCTCAAATGATAATTCTTTTTGACTCATATTATTTCGGTGCCAAAATCGAAATCTCAAAACCTTGCATCAGAGAAATATGATACTTTCAAGGGTATATTGTTGCGTTTATTGAAACATAGTTATAGAAACAATTACGATCAGGGTTAAGAATGATGAAATCTGATTGGATACATGAACAATAATGAATTAACGATTTTCTACTAGAATAAATTTACCGTCGTAGCTGTGTGACAGTCCTAACAAGATCTCAAACTTATCCAAAGTGATGTTTCCATGAGTGTTAGTAACCAGGTCAGCCATTACAAATTGTCCAATAGTAGAGTAGAGTCGCAACTTGTAGGGCTCCCAAGAAACCTTGAAGTTAGAGCCGAGCCAACAACCTTTGTTGAAACCGCAGTCCAGATCAAAAACGTCTTGATAATTGGTCTCATCACTTTTTTCGACTTTTAGCCCAGTTATAAGAAAAATTACTAACCAAGATATAATATCAGTCATGCTATCAAATTACTTAAATGAATAGTTATAGACGTCGGAAATATGGAGCTGTTGTTTGGAATAATAACCGACTGATCAGTTGACCAATATTACAAAATTTGATAAATGTTTTATTCGGTACGTCAAGTTACTAGTGAAATTGTTTATCAAGGATAGAATAAACAAATTTCACAGGTTAATGGCGGATATTTTGACTATAGAAGCAAGATTCAGCTTGCATTAAACTTATTTTTTTATGAACTTCAAACGATGTATGAAATTGCATTTAATAGATCACCATAACACAAAAAGTGTCGTCAATGCATATTTGAGTTATCCAAATTAAAGGTAGCAAACAGTCAAACAAGACGCACAGTCAAACCTTCTCATGGGCGAAGGACCGAAAGTCAATTATTAAAGTGAATAAATTGCCGTTCAACTAAAAGGAATTAAATGAAGCGGTGAAACCGTTGAAATATAAAATCTGTTCCATTTTGCGGGCGCTGTGATATTTTGAAAAAGTTGCATATTTCTGTCGTTTTTAATTTTGCCCAATTTCTACAGTGCTGGTTTAAATTAACCGGACAAAAACAAAACTTGAAGTTTCAAACGCAGTTTTCTCAAATTGGGTTAAGATTAGACAAAAAATGAGGAGAACAAAAGTTGCTTAAAATTTCACCAGAATTAATTTGGTGCAATTTTTTCTCCAAACTTCTCAGCCAAAATTTTACCCGAAAAATGGGTCATTTTGGCTTTTTTTTTTCAATTAATTAAGAATTAAGCTGAAACTACTTTGTTAATTAATGAGAAATATATATCACAAGAAGCCTCTTACACAGCCCAACAAAGTTCTGGAAAGGTTAAATCTCCAAAAACCTGTATAAGAGAAAATATCTTTGCTTGATAGTCAAGAAAGGTGATTTTTACTATATAAAATCCAAAATCTTTGCTTAAAAACAAATTTTAAACAAATTAGTCATTTTTTTGGAGATTTGTAGCCTTCTAGAACCTTGTTGAGCTGTGTAAGAGGCTTCTTGTGATATATATTTCTCATCAATTAACAAAGTAGTTTCAGCGTAATTCTTAATTAATTGAAAAAAGCCAAAATGACCCATTTTTGGGGTAAACTTTTGGTTGAGAACTTTGGAGAAAAAATTGCACCAAGTTAATTCTGGTGAAATTCTAAGCAACTTTTGGTCTCTTCATTTTTTGTCTAATCTTAACACAATTTGAGAAAAACGCGTTCGAATTTTTAAAATTTATTCGTTTTGTCCGCTTAATTTAAATCAGCACTGTATATTAAGTCCCTGGAAATGTTTAATTTCTTTGAGATTTTCACGCTTTCCAAATTTTAGAATACTGAATTCTGATTGGCTGACTTTTATTTTCGCTCATTTGGTCTTTCGCATATGAGGGATTCCACCCAAGACTAGATACGTAAATATGAACCGCAAAATTATCTGACCACTGATTTTAGTTATCTGAGGCTGGCCTGTTAGATTGGATCCATTAGCATTCCAATCTTAATATTTCCAATTAATTTGTTCGGGTGTTGTTGGAAGTAAACTGGGCTTTTTCAGAAAAGGTTTTTGTTTTTTTTGCCACATTGATATACCGAGCTGTCATCAAAGACTAGGATTCAAAACATTTTTGACAGAACCAAAGTTCTATTCAAAATGCGTCATTCTGGACGGTCTGGAATGGCCTTCCCTCAAATTCCAAAATTCTCCGAGGGTCATCATCGTTCAAATTGGAAATAATGCATATTTTTACGAGGCTAAACTGTGAATTCTCTGCTTTGTAAGCGGACTCCGCAACAGGCCAAAATCAGATTTTTCGGGGAATTCGCAACATTGCTACTTTTCTTTGATCTTCTTTGCTGTTTTGGATTCCACAAACAAATACCTAAAACATTGTACCGCTCAAAATCGCTCCAAAAATAGGCGAATTTGCAAAAACGGCAACTGTATTTGCGGAATCCAGAACAGTTTGTGGAATCCACAAACAAATGATAAGACATTTGTATCGTTAAACTGAGCTGTTGCGGAATCCGCAACTGTAAGTGGAATCCGCAAATTGTAAGTGGAATCCGCAAATTGTAAGTGGAATCCGCAAATTGTAAGTGGAATCCGCATTTTGTTTGCGGATTCCATTTACATATATGTTTATATCAGGTAACGTTTTAATTTATATCTTTAATTTACTAGGTGTTCACCAGCAAGTTCAATCTCAGCTACATTGATCAGCTACCAGTTGAAATACCTGTCAATCTCAATTCCTGTCACCAACATCGATCTCAATTCCTGTAACCCAACTTCGACCCCAATTCCTGCCTTTAATCTCCATTCTTGCAAAACTGAACAAAATGAACAAACTTATGAAGTAAACTCGCATCTAAATTCATCAGTTCATTTTAATCAATTAATTCAATTAATTAATTCAATTTTAAAAAAATATATTTTTTAGTTTAGCCTTTTTCGAGTATTTTCAAATTGCGCACATATAGTTTGATAAATCCACTGCTTTTGCCACCCCCTCCCCCAAAGTTTTTATTAAGAAAATTGATGACAGGAACAAAATTCAGCTACAGTTTTTGAGTAACATAAAAAAGTAACAAAAATACCAAAGTTAGGCCGAAAAGAATTAAATTGAACAACAAGTAACCAACTTTAGTTTAAAACGTAGAAAAGACTTTATGTGCGTTGAAATTCGCATCTGAGTAAAGTGGAAAAAGTCTATTATAATTCAGTTTCATTGTCAGTATTCACAAAAGTGAAAAAAAATGATTATAATTGATAAAAAAAAATTTGCCTCGAAAAATCCATTTTTAACTGATTATAATCGAATCGATGGCAATTCAGACAAGAAAACTCAATTATAATCAATTTTTTTTTTCATAGAACTCCAATGCGGTAATTGTTTGCGAAGTGCAGCTATGCATCTGTGTAACACCTGCGAACTATATACTTTTAAATGTTAACTGGTTGTTTAACTGAACTACGGAATCATTTTATTGTTGTCATTGCTTTTGTTGTTGTTGTTGTTTTTTTGTTTTTGTTGTTGTTGTTGTCGTCGTTGTTTTTGTTTAAGCCACTTAGTCATTTTTTCGTGGCTTTGCGTTTTCTGCATTTGGGTTGTTCAGTACTCTTGAACTATTTCTAACCTTTCGTTTCTCTGTCATATCAATACTAACTGGTATATTTTCATTTTGATTTTTATTTTAAAAACCGTTACATTCAATTTTTTTTCTTATGTCTGTTTCTCTTAGAAGCGAGGGTATTGCCATGGAGTACTAGAATTGTCTCTTAAAAACATGCTCACGGACTCATCTTTTGGAAATCCCTGCAAAGCTTTCTTACAAGAGACCTATTTTGAGCATTTTGTATTCGACCGGTTTGAAGTTTTTGATTTTTCGTCTAATTTTGAGCGACAAAAGCCAGCAACCAGGTTTATATACGCTTAAGTTAGGCCGCTTACAATAGCTTAATTATGCCTAACTTTATTTTTACTGAATTAGTTTTTGGAGATTTTAAATGCCATTTTGGTAATCACAAACTTCAAAAACTGTTGCCTGGTTTGCTTATAATAATATAACGGTCAAATTTGCCTAAATTAGAGTGTTATGTTAGATCCTTTTACCACACCACGCAGAAAAAACTACACTGATTTGAAAATAAAAAATTGATAGATTTGTGAAGACTAGGTCAAAAAGTTCTGTGCTACATGCACCGTAACCGGCTATCCTTGGTTAATTTTGAAAGTATTATCAGTATGATTTATGTAGTATCGTTTTTTTTTTGTTATTTTAAAGATTTATTAACAGCTGTGCGATAGGCAAGGGTATTCACCTTGTTTTTTCGACTTTTGTCTTGTTTTGTATTGCATGTGGTGCGAAGCTCAGCTTCACATCTGTGTTAGAATTTTAAGTTTCCGGCATATGTGATGGCAATTCTGTCGCTTCATTTTGCATCGCTTATTGGGTGAATTTTTTTTTCGTATGTGCTGATTCGTGTAGGGGGTCTTAAAATGAAAAAAAAATGAAAAAAGGCAACATTTTTTTTAATTCAACGGGAATCTGCCCAGGTAATTTCGGCTTAGTTATCACTTTGGTAATTTTTCATTCTAAATCAACGTTCTATATTTTTCCTTTTCGTTCGATAATTTAAAAGTGAACACCATTCAAGACAAGTCGAGAAAACATGTTGATAATTGTAGTTTTGTGCTTGTGGCATTTTTGTACCATTTTTTCATCTTAGTGTTTGCTTGTATAGGTTTTAGAGCTTCAAAAAGCCGTTCTTTTCAAAAAGCCGTTCTTATGAGTTTCCTTGCTTGATGAGCTAGCTTGAAAAAACAATATGCACTTTGCCAACCGATAGCGTTTTGAAGTAACTTTTGAAATTTCATCGCTCGATTAGCTTGGTTGAAAGCTTTTACGAACCAATTCGCACTTTGTAATGACTAGATATTTTCCGAAATTACGTCGCTTGATAGGCAAGCTTAGACAATTAACCTCTTGCGGTTTGATTTCAAAAACTTCATCAATTAAATGGCTGGCTTGAAACTTTTTTCTGCGAAACGGTTCAAGCTTTGAGGAAAACTATAGTATGAGGACGTTTCATCGCTAGAAAAATTTTCCAAAAAACTAGATTTATAAAGAGTTTCGTCAAAAATTGTTTGACATTTTTTGAGTTTTTTCAAAGTTCTGTTGCTTAAAAAAACACAATTTTTTGTACACCGATGCAAGCTATGAAAATTAACAGAAAAATTTCAACATTTTTTTTGTAACCGATTTATTCTATGAAATAATTTGAAATAAATTACGCGCTGTGAACCGACTGCCGCTATGAATTACCTTGAAATGGCTCAAATTGTAATGACAGATTTGAGATTTCTACAACTAAACAGGCTAAACTATTTCAGCTGATGTTTGATTAGCTCTATGAAAACGAATCGTGTAGCTGTATGTGGCCATGAAAACAAATTGAAATATCTCGAGTATTTTTGAAGCTGTTGTGATTAAGATGCCAAAAATTAATTTCGATAAGATCTCTCACCGATAGAAACCTGATATGAGTTTTTGTGATTTTCAGATTCATCATCAATTTCTTACTGGAGCTCGCTGCTTCCATTCAATGTATTTTTGTGAGAAGCTATAGATACCATCAAACAAATCCCTCATACTAAACATTAAAACACCCCATTATACATAAACAACCCTTTTACGGAGTGATTATTGGTTTAACAAGGTGTTTTTTGACCAAATGGGTATGCATTTGAGTAATGAGAATATATGCAAAATTTAACAACTATTGGGCTACCTTGACAAAAAAGATGAATGAAAGGAGAGGTTAAAGAGCCCTTCACTGGCAAAATTATTTACGGAAAAAGCCTGTAAACAGTCCAGTGATCCAAAAATTAATTTTTTTTTCAATTTCGTGTTCATCGATCGCAAGTTACTTTTGTGGTCTAAGTTTTAAAGCGAACGGCAATTCGTGGGTACTATAAAAGCAATTAAACTGAAGATTGGTCATTTAAATAAAAACAATTTCAGCATTTGAACAGTTTTGGATTTTTCAAAATAACGTTGGCCACCGCGTTCTTGAAATTTAAGGAAAAAAATGCTTAAAAAAACTTGGACTTAAGAAAGATCTCAATCTCTTGTAACCTTTTTAAGCATCCGAGATACCAATTTTCAGATAACAAATGAAAAGTAAGTTGATTGCACACAGTGTAATAACATTGAAGAAGGTTTTATAAGGTGTGAGATATATCAAGTAATATGTTGGTCACCAGTTAAGATAAATATGTTAGACAAATTGAGATGATGTCTGAATAACTGAAAATGGTGTAACTAAAGGCTTTTTTGTTTGATTTGTGTTTGAATTAAGTTTATCTTGATTAAGTTTTCCAAGTTTTTCATCGCCTGTTTTTTCTGAGCTTCCAATTTTGGCATGACATCTTCTACATTATACGTCATGTTCTCATTGGAAATAAATTCTTCCGAAAAAGGTAATCTGTACATGGATCCACATCGATTAACAAGTGGTAAGGTATCTTTCAAAAAATCCTTTTTGGTATGAGGGATTTTCTTATCCAGTAGGTCAATACATGAAACATGATGTTTGTATTTCTTGAGTTCTTTCAGCATGTGGGCTGTCATGGCGAATGGGTCTTTTTTCTCTAAATTGATACGTTCACCTGATGAGAACCAAGATTTGACCTCGTCCAAATGAGAGTCGATGAATGATTTTTTGATCAAGAGTTGACAGGACTCCGGGGGACCTACAGCGTTCCTCATAGTCCTCATGGCCCTCGAAGAATGAACAGTTTTGAGCGTGAATGAAGTGAATTTGGGTATGCAATGGAACCATTGTTCAGGATCCCTAGGTTTTCTGTGATCGAACTCGTTCAATGTTTGATTTAAAATATGGAAACCCTGATTCGAAATCATTGATTGTCCGTCTACAAAAGTAATCCATTCTGCTGCACTGCTGTACATGATTCGGTCTAGTGCTGTTAGTTTGGCCTGTTCGATGCTAAGAATCTGATTTCGGATTTCATCGATGGTTCCGAGAGGTTTCTGAAGCAGGGAGAAGTATGTCTAGCAGGGTTGGAAATGTTTTGAAGCAATTGACAAGCGAAATTTGAAAATATTGAATTGAAAAATGCTTTTGACACTATAAATCATGATATTTATTTTGCAAAGCTGGAATGTATTGGTTTTCGCGTAAAAACTTTGGATCTGTTGAAAAGTTATTGTACTGATAGATATCAATATGTCGAAATAAATGGCAAAAAAACTGAATGCGAGTCAATTACGTGCCGTGTACCGCAAGGCTCTGTTTTAGGACCGCTACATTTTTTTTAATGTATATCAATGATTTGACATTGTCTTGCACGGAAGTGGAGTCTGTTTTGCGATATTACAATTTTCCATGCTGACAAACTGAGCAATGATCTTTTATGGAAAATTTAAAACTCTGGTGCGGAAACTGGTTTGAAAAGAACTGCCTAACTATCAACGAGTCAAAATTTCAGTACATGAAATTTGGGAGAAATAAAATCTGTCGAGTTGGAAGTTTTTGGAAGAAAAGCAAAATCTATTGATTGCTACAAATATTTAGGTATTTTGATTGACAAAAATTCAACTTTCAAGTATCATACTCAGAAAATTTTTTAAAAATTATCAAAACTCTGTGGTGTTCTTTACTAGGCTAGACATTATTTTTCAAAAAAACAAATGGTACTTTTTTTATATTACTTATGCTAGACGTGTAAGACAATACGGTATAATGGTGTATGGTTGTACATACAAGAGTCATTTAGACGAAATTTACAAAATGCAAAAAAAAAAATAACGAGGCTGTATTTTTCAAACGAAATTTAAATTCTGCACGTGAAATCATGAATGAAAACGGCATACCTTTAGTTTTTGAAATGTTTTGTACTAAAAGATTTAAAACCCTGTATAAGTCAATGCAAGACAAAACCAGCATGAGAAAAATTGATGGTGAGTTAGGAACAAATGCATATCAAACATGTAGAAAAGCCAAAAGCATTTTGCCATCTGTTTCTTGTCGGATTAATTATATGAAGAAGTCCCAAAATTTTTTTCTAATAATAGCATAAAGTTGTTTGCAGAAAAATTGCTTATGCCCGTAGACCTTTGTCAAAAAAAAAGTTAAAAATTTTATCTCTACGATAATCAAACAATAATTGATTTACTGGTCAATTAAGATTCAACCTTTTTTTTGAGCACGCTTTTTTTCACCGTTAAGTTGTCTCACTTGTTGAGTAGTACTACCTTTTGGGAAACCCTCTGGTCAAAATTAAATGAATAAAAATATTTTATTGTACGGTAAGTTAATTAAACTTCAGACAAGGTAAGAAAAAACACTTTTCAAAACAGAAAAGAAAAAAAAAATTTTTTCTTAAATTTTTGTTGCAAAAAACTAGCATTGTCTTGGAACCGAACTGCTGCAATAGGGGTACGAGCTGCTTTCCCTTATTGAGCCAGTTCGATCTCTGCAAGGCTGCACCGGATCATCTTAAACAATTTGTAGCAAAAAGAAGAGATGATTATCTGACTCCCGTTTTACTTGCCGCATATATATTAGATCATCGGTATAAGGGCAGAAAATTAGAGCTGAACAAACTGTAAAAACGTTTGCAAACGTTAAAACATGTAATAAAAAACCGCTGTTAAATCGATTTTTTTTTAAATAAAAAACCTCTTTTTTGCCAACCCTGATATCAAGACTTATCGAGCGTCTCAAAAAAAACATTTAAACTGATGCAATTACAGGGTTTGCAAAAATGTTTCATAAGTTTAAGAATGGCAAAAATTTTTTACTTGATAAACTTGATAAAAAACGTGAGTGTCATTTAAGTGCTGCTTTTAAAAAACATATCTTGTATGTAGGCAGCACCAAAAAAATTGCCTGTATGTCTTAATTAAGGGACACATCAGCGATTTAGGTAATGAGCGTATCGCCTCGTATGTCGCATTTTAATCTTTTCCCTAATGGATAAATTATTCCAAACAACTGCAACAACAATGGGCTTTTTTCACTTTCGAACCAACTTATATTGATACCAACTTTTCAATATTTTTCATGCGGTTAATCACCAGCGGATTAAGTAAGGGGGTGGGGGTGATGGCGGAAGGGTGGGGTGATCCCCCGAAGGGTCCATCTTTGTACTATTTTGAGTTATCCTTTTTTGGCTGAATTGCCTTCAATTTTTTCTAAAGGCGCCGTTGACGACGAAATATACTAATTCTGAGGGAAGCGCGCGCCAAAAAAGGCACAGACAAATTTTGTCAAAATAGGGTCCATAAAGTGATTTGGGAGAGCTTAGAAAATCAGTTTGGTCGACCTAAAAAAAGGTCGACAAAATTTTTGATTTTTTTTGGAAATCAAACCCCCCCCCCCCCCCCTCGAGAAATCCTAGATCCGCGACTGCGGTTATTTATCCTTCTCAACCCTAAAAATGGCGTACTCGGCTAATCTATACGCTATCAAAAGCAAAATATCATGCAAAAACGATCTGTGACTTTGAACATAATAATCATTACTCAGTTAAGCCAATTCGGCGGAAAACTGAAAAGATTTACCTAGAGAGCTTTCAGTCTTGAATGCACTCTTCCTATACCGGTACCTAAATTGTTGCCTAAGTAATAAAGATTTTTTTTTTCTAATTCTCACCTTCAGTTTAGCTAACTGAAATGGATTAGGTATCATTTCTGTCCATTCTAACTCCTTCGAAACAATATTCCAAACTCGACCTTGAATCGTGTTATTTAGAATGCTGTGCAACATCCAGAACCTCTGCACGTTGTAAGGTAAGCTTTCACTATGTTTCACGTGGTCAACATTGTATAGCATCTGACTGGTCGTTTGAAATGGTGCAATGGGATTGGTTATTATTTTAACCAATAGAATGCGAGGGTTGAATTTGAAGCCGTCAACAAGATCTGTTCTAAATCGATCTCTTGGTTTCCGAGGAGAATGTTCGGGCGCGGTAAGCAAATTGCTGGAAGAATTCTTTAGTTCAGGCCGATTATGCTGTCTGCGATTAATGAATTCGGAATCATTTATGTAATTTCGATTGTGGTTTATAAAAAAGAAAAATGTAATTGCTGACAGTATGAGATAATTATAACTTTTTCTTGCCATGGTTTTTTATTTCGTAGTAAGCATAATTTTATGTCAGGCAGCAGTTTGCTGGTCGCTGCATGATGTCGCATTTTTTGTTGAAATAGTTATGTTAAATCACATTGTTACATTTGTTACAGTAATAACTCAAGTTATTAAAAACAAAATTTGGTACCATGAAGAACCAAATACGCCCACAAAACAAATAAACGCTTCTTAAGCAAAAAAAATAAAATCTATCAATTGTCATAGTTAATTTTGAGTTTTACTGCGCGCAGTCCTGACATAATTTACATCTTGGTGTTTTGTGATTGGCTGTACTGGCTGTCAATTTTATTTATTTTAGTGGTTTAGTATTTGAGGTTCGATTTCAAATCTCATTTTCTGGGGCTTCATTCTGTAAAACTTGAGCTGTTCATTTTGGAAGTGGCGCAAAATCGCTTTTCCATTTGAATTGCCAAAACGGAATGATTTTCTAGACTCAAGAAACGAATGAAAAAATTACATGTTGGTCAAGAGTTTCAAAATTGAGCTAAAGTTACAGCCACAGATGACAAAGATTACACTAGAGTGACTTATTAATTCATTAACTTCAGTGAACGTTAGTGTTATACTACGACTATTCTTTTTTTTCTAAGCTAAGTCGCAGGTATTGGTGCCACTTTTGGGACAGGTTTACGGCTTTTTGATGGCATTTTCTTTAACATTCGAATAATACTAAGTTAACGCAGTTGATGCGTTTCAAATTCATCGAATGAACCGAAAAAAGCTATTTGTTTCAAACAACATAACAATCATAAAAACTCGATTTCAGAAATTTTCTAACTGAATTATTTAGCAAAATTTGCAATGCTTAATTTATACACAATGTAGTTTTATGCTTTCCAATTTATTACATGCAAAATTAGCGCAGATGCTTTCAGTTTGTTACATCTTAAACTAATACTGGCAAAATTGTGACTATTTGTATTTGGTGCCATTTTTGCTATATGATATTGGTAAATTGATAGCATATGTATTTTCTTTGTTTGCGAATAGTGTTTGCGGATTGTTAAGCATTCGTGGCCTAGAGGGCAGGGCGTGAGACTCCAATTTTCGAGGTAGCAGGTTCGAAGCCCATACATAGCAAAGTTTTAATAATTCGTGGCTTATTTCTGACTTTTCTTTTTTTTCACTTTCTAAAGCTGCTTTTTTGTCGTGTTCCTGCTAGTGTTTGCGAGGCGCAGCTTCGTCTCTGTGTTAAAACGTTTAATCAGAAAATAGTCAGCTTTGAATTTAAATCGTTAATTTACCATGAATTTTGATGCTTATTTCTGACTTTTCTTGCTTCATTTTATAAAGCTGCTTTTTTGTCGTGTTCCTGCTAGTGTTTGCGAGGCGCAGCTTCGTCTCTATGTTAAAAAAATTTAATCAGAAATAATCAGCTTTGAATATTAATCGTTAAATTACCATGAATTTGGAAGTTGAGTAAAAATTCTCAAAATTTTAATATATGTATATGGTCGACAAAACTTTCGCTTCAATAGTCGACAAAGAGTGCTAGCTTTAACTCCACCTAAGCTGACGTTAACATATACACGAATGGCAGGAGTCTGATTCTCAGAGAATGAATGATCATGTCGATAAAATAGATTCAACCTTCTGACCTTATTATATTTGGTAGACACTTCACTACTACTACAGTGGAACCTGATCTAAACTACATTTTATGATTGGATAAGTTAGATATTTTACCACTGTAAAGTATTTAATATTAACCAATCATGATCCATCTAACTAACAACCCACTTATTTGTAAGTGCTGGAATTACTTGTAATTTCAGCACTAGAGAGATTTGAATTTAACTTAGAAATTAGTTGACTCTCCAAGAAGACTTCAGCAACCGCAAAAAACCAGTATACCCTAGATCTATTGAGCCTAGCAGAGACTAGTTAAACACCCTGAGACTAGATAGTATAAGAGTAAGATTAGGATCGGTATTAGACTAAGAAGTTGCACGAATCTATCCGGCCGAAAATAAGATAGCGTGACGAGCAGACGGTGTACCCTATCCGAAATTACTCTATGAGTTAACCACCTCGGTTATAACTCATCTGGTGCGACCATAAGTCTCGAACAAGACCTTAATAGCTTAGAATTAACAAAAATAGAGTAGAATTTAGACAAAACATTTTTAAAATGTTATACGACGATAATTTAATCGAAATGTCTCTACGACTCAATAGATCAAAGCCAATATTCCGAACGATAGGAGAACTACCGGGAATTGGAAGAAGACCTCGAACCGGAGACGATATACGACAGAATAGAAACTTACCAAATAGTTATATGATAGTACGGCAAAAGCCAACACAAACTTTTATATTTAGAATTTTATTAGCAATGAATTTAGATTTTCATTTGCAAACTTAAATCTTGAAGTCAATCTTCATGCTCATTTCAGGCGCTAAACAAAATATTAATATACAATAACGATTGATAAAAATATCTCAGATCGTTTTCCTAAAATTCTGCAGTATTATATAAAACATGTTTGGAAAATATTTATTGAAAATCAAAATAAAAATTAGTAGCATGACAATAAACTGTTAGTAATCATAAAATCATCAGTTGTCTCAGCTTCATCACCTAAAACATAACAGCAATCATAAGCTCACTAATATCATTAAAACACTAAATCTTTTCTTAAACAAATTTAAACCATTTTAAACTTAAATTCACTTAATTTTAAAATCAGATCATCAAGGCTTATCCTTGGATCTTAATTCATTTTCTATTTAATTAAATTTTAAAACTTGATCATCAAGGCCTCTCCTTGGATCAAAAAGAACAATTTTGTTCTCCCCCACCCACTTAGTTAGTGTCTAACGACCTCAAACGTCGATTCACTATCCAACCCTTTCGCAAAACCCAAGACTAATAGAAATTTTTCAACAAAACTAACCATTCAAATTAGGATAAACAGTGAAGAACTTCGGTTATTCATCCTTCACTTGAACCCTCCTCTTATCAAGAACCAGGATATATCATAGACTTAGTAAGTTTAAAATAGTATCTAACGAACTACTCGCGTTCTAATTATACCTGAACCTTGTGGATCGATTTACTATTCTCCAACTCTTGAACACAATCACTACCCCTAAGTAAGATTAAGTAAGTTAACACCTTAGCTTATACTAGCCACGAGAAAGTAAAAATCATTCTTCGGAATCGAATTACTTTTCTCTCCAACCCTGAACAAATAGACCCAGGTTAAGCTAACCAAAAAATCGTAAGGACTAACAATTTAAGAAAATAGAATTCATCTAACAACTTTTTGCATCCGTCATCCTAAACCTTATGTCATTTAAAAATCTAGGAAACAAACAAACAATCGTTTTGCACAACTGTGAAATAGATAACAAAAAATACGACCTTGTAATCACACCTCACACACAAACAGTTGGATATATTAGAACAAAACGACAAACACTAAAAAGAAAAATAATAACTAAACAAAGACAAATAACACGAAAAAGATTTTCCAAAAATAGAAACGCATTCTCAGAATCAGAAGTCAACAATTTAGACGAACTCTATAAATTAAAAGAATCTAAGATAAAAATTGCCCCATACACGATCAATTATATTTTTCTGACTCAGAAACAACATCAAATTCATCAAAAAGAGGAAAAAGACGAATAAAAAAGCAATATAAAGACAAACCAGTACATTTATACAACTGGAATCAACCAATTAGACACATCGATAATTACCTATTAACAGTCATTAAACGGAAAAATGAGCCAAACACACACTCCAAGTGAAGATAGTCCAGATGATGACGATATCTTCCCCTTCCTCGTAGATGCACCCACTGATAGAGGACAGCATATACTTTGCAAGAATTTACTACTAAATTTATTTGAACCCGGAATCAGCCCATGTACAGCAGAGTTCCCCGATGTAAAAATCAAAAGACAAATTATTGATCACTATCTGAAAGATATATGTAATTTGACACAACACTACGGAATCTACACCATAGAATTAACCTCACCAAACCCGAATCACCGCAAATATGTAATTCAAACAGACGACCTTGATTTAGAATTTTCAAAAGTATTCTCAGAATACATAAAAAGCATACAATATCATAACTCACAAAGAGCAAACTCCATATTCACTAATGAAGTTTTTGCCATAATATATAGTTATATCTCAATATTAGAGAACGAAATTCCAATCCCAAATGTCTCACCGACAGAGACATCCAAACATATAAAGGTACGACATGAAATCACACTATTTTCAACTTTTCTACATATAATTAAAGAAAATTTCACCAAAGATGATGTTTCACAACATACAAAACATGACTTACAAAAAATTTTGGCATGGTTTATAATAGATTATTTCACACATAATATAGATTTAATTTCACTAGCAAGAAAAAATTTTAGACCTCAAAATTCAAACGATGATACCGCCATCACAGAACAGTCAGACTACGTTTGGGACCCCAAATGGTCTCATTATGCATTTATAAATATCCCACAATCAATTGCAAGTCAAGCAATAAGTACAATATCTTATACCAGAGATTATGTAAGAGTAGTACCATTAACCATTGACGCAACACCATTAAACTACAATACATTTTTACCTGATACTCAAAATAACAGTTTAAATTCGACTGTCATACACAATGAAAACCTTAATGGAACTAGAAACCTCACTCAACAAGATATTCAGACACCATCACACTTCATAAATGAAGAAATTGTCCAAACAACAACAACTACACAACAAAGTATTTCACCAATACGTCCAAATTTAACAACACCAAGAAACACAAACACTTCACTAGCACAGGTAACCTTACAATCAACTGTTAAACCTTCGGTTGCTCCAAAATATTCACAAATGGATTACCAAACATATAGACCCATGACAATACCGTTGAAAACACGCAGAACATTCACAAGAAACAATTTTGCGGAACATAATTATAATTATACACATTCATCAAAAACAAACTATCCTCCACGAAATAATAATAATAACCAAATCAGATCTCGATAT